AAAAAAAAAAGACATAAAAAAGTTCCTCTATGCGAATAAGCCGTGTTATGGTGCAACTGATAGGTACTCCTCCTGTATCTATTTTCTCCTCCAATAATGGAGGGTTCTGCAGGTCACATGACTTCCCTCCTACAGATAAAATTTCTCAGCATCCTTTGTGGCAGGTGTGATCGTATGACTAGTCTCTGACCAAAGGGACATGAGTAGATGTGATGTGTGCAACTTCCTGGCTTGGCCCTCTCCTTCCTCTTTTCACTTTCTTGAGAGCTGGAATATAAACTTGATGAGGCATCTTTGGCCATGCAGACAAAGGCAACCCCACAGAGATGACAGTGGACTGAGACAAAAAGAATAAAAGCCACTGGGAAAGCCATAAACCCTCTTCCTCTGGATTGTATTTTGAAAGAAAAATGTTTAACTAGTTTTTTTTTTTTTTTTAAGATTTATTTATTTTAGAGAGAGAGTGAGAGAGTACAAGCAGTAGAGCCAGAGGGAGAGAGAATCTCAAGCAGACTCTCCACTGAGTGTGGAGCCTGACCTGGGGCTTGATTTCACAACCCTGAGATCACGACCTGAGCTGAAATTAAGAGTTGGCCACTTAACTGACTGCACCACCCAGGCACCCCATTATTTATCTTCTTTTAACCCAGGATTATTTTGGACTTCTAAGGCAACCACACAGAAATCTCATCTAATATACTAGATAGGATTGTCCAAAAAGCTATTTTATGTCTCACCCTCTTTACTGTGTTCTAATTTGTCAGCCTTGATGCATAGGCAGATCTCGATACACATTTCAAAGTTGGAGCATAAAATGGTACCCTGGTAATGGGTGGTTTAAGCAGTTTTTATCTTCTAGAGTGGGCTAGGAATTCTAAAACTCAGGTGTCCAGTACAAAAGATATCATATTGATGCTGGCTCAGCCCTACCAGAAACCCACTGGAGAGCCCAATACACTATGTACTACTATGGCCTGAATGTTGGTGGCCCTCTCAAATTGTTATGTTGAAATCATAACCCTAAGTGACAGTAGGAGGAGGCAGAGTCTTTGGGAGGTGATTAGGTTATGAGGGTGAAGCCCTCACACATGAGATTAGTGTCCTTATAAAAGAGATCCCAGAGAACTTTCTTGCAATTTCGGCCATGTGAGGACACAGCAACCAATTGGCCACCTAGGAATCATGCTCTCATCAGACACTGAATCTGCCGGTACCTTGATCTTGGACTTTCTAGCATCCAGAACTATGAGGAAAAAAAATGTATATTATTTAAGCCACCCAGTATGTGGTATTTTTATTATAGCAGCCTAGGAAGACTAAGACAGCGAGTATTCTCTGCTCATAGTGGGCTAGACAGTGTCCAGTGAGAATTTTTATTAAAGAAGATCGATAAAAAAAAAAAAAAAGAAGAAGATGATTAATACGGGAATCTGAGTGGCTCACTCGGTTAAGCGTCTGCCTTCAGCTCAGAAGCTTCCAGATTCTGGGATCGAGCCCCATGTCAGGCTCCCTGTTTAGTGGGGAGCCTACTTTTTCCTCTCCTCCTGCAGCTCCCCCTGTTTCTGCTTTCTTTCTCTCCACCCCCTTCTCTCCATCAAATAAGTAAAATCTTAAAAAAAAAAGAAAAAAAGAAAAAAAGAAAGAAAGAAAAGATCAATAGCTCTTAGGCATTAAGTAAAAACCCAAAGACTCACAACACCACAAAATGAGCATATTGGGCCTTTGTTAGGCTCTCATAACAAAGGACTCTCCTCCTTGCTTCCCAATCACTCAGTCACTAACTGACACCCCCCCCTCCGGCCCCACCCCAGCCCTGCCCAAAACACACACCTCAGCAGTGGTAGTCCACTGCCACCGTTCAAAGACCTCTCACTATCAGGCATGATTTCCCCGGAGGCTGCTCACAGTTCTCTGGTCCCAGGTGGTCATAGGAGCAAATGTGTTCCAGTGTCTTCTCCAAACCCATCCAGATACCCAGCAGAACTTGGGGATTTGGTGGGTGGAGGAACCAGAAAGCTTTGAAGCCTCCGCCCTAAGGTACACTACAGGAAAGAATGTAACCTACATGGATGAATTATGGCTGGAAAAAGCTAATAAATGGCAATGACACCAAGGCTTACCTTCTGGCTACAATAAGGAGTCGGGAGGATTGGGGGTGGCTATGGTAAACACAAGAGCACAGGCCTCTTCCGAAAACAGGAAATCATCAATAGGAAGTTGTTGTTTCCCTCTCTCCCACCCACCAAGCCCACTATCCAGCCAACTGCTTTCATAGAGAAATGCAGACCCATTTGGTATGGGTTGTTAGGAATTTCATGTTAAAGTTCCTGGTTTTAATTGTTGTGATTAGTTCAAATTTAAATAAGTTACCATGTAGACAAACCACCAAGTGGTACGTTATTTTGCCCCCTCTGGTTTATAAAGCTTCCAGATCAGTGTGGCCTGCGCCATTGATTTAAGAACAATCGGGAGCTGTGTTTTTGTTTTTTTTTATTCTCCACTCCTCCAGGGTTGCTTTTTGTACTTTTACCCAGATGGTCACATCCCCCTCTTCCAAGGAACCCGACCCGGGGCTGGAAGGGTGGAGTATGATCGTTCTCAAGCCAATTTACTACTCTTACTACAGTGAACTTGCCTTACTCCAACCTTATTGCTCTTTCTGTTCTCTCGTTTCTGTATGGTACCCAAAGGGCACATAGCACCTGTCTGGGGGTAGCTATACTCTTCCAATATAGCATTGTTGGTTTACCACCACGAGATGCACTACGCCAGCTCGGAAATGAGACGCTTACCATTTTGCCACTAAAAATTACCAATAGCTTCCCTCAGGAAGACAGTCTCACCAACGTAAAGGTGGAAGAGAATTTAGCTCAAACTGATGTTAAATGATTGGAACAATGATGGAACAGCAACTTTAAACACTAACCTCCTGCCAGTTGCTGTGAATTGGCTATGAGTTAGACTGCATCCCGTTCCTTCACGGTCCTGGTAGGGTGAGCAGTATCTTCCTGGTCAATGCTCTCCCACCTGGACTGGTTCATCATCTGGAGGCACCCTGCCGTCTACTCAGGAAATGGTTCCTGGTAGCGAGGGTAGTGGCTTACAAAGAGCTTGAGCATCTTCATATTGTTAAGAGCTGTAAAATTGGATCTTCACTAGCTGACCTCAGGCACATGTACACCTTCCACCCCCTATTCTCTCTCCCATCGTACCTCCATGCTGGAATCAAAACACTACAAAAGCAAGGACAGCTAACTGTCCTGGCCACTCTTCTGTATCCACCGTGCCTAGAGCAGTCCCTGCCACATGGTAAGTACTCAGTAGATATTAGCAGAATACCGGGAACTAGCTTAGCGTCTTATTTGTGGGAGCTGGTTCAGTTCAGGACAGCTCTTGCTTCAAGGCGGGGGTGGAGGGGTGATTGGATGCCTCACCGACATTCTGTTAGCACTGAGATTCTGTGAGTCTGAATGTGGAGGATCTCACTGGCCCCTGTCGGTGTGAGCCAGCAGCTGCTTTGAGGCAGGAAGAAAATGAAGCTAGCAGGCAGATGGGGTGGGGGAGGGGTGGGAAGATGGGTGAGGGCCAGAGCATCTCAGAAGATGAAGGGAGTCAGTGCTAATAGGGTGTGACAGAGTGGGAGTGTGGAAGGATCGTGGCCCAGGAGACGTCTTTTTCCCTGGGACAAAGGGGGCAGTGATGCAGAGCCCAGGGTAGCACTTGATTCCGCCAAAGGAGCATCCTTTGGGATGCTGTGGATGCTGTGGGAAGAGATGGCTCAACCAGGAGCCAGAATTAAAATGATGGAGCCAAAGATGCCTTTTCATTTGAACAGATCTCTCAGAGGAACTCCAACATCTCTGTCAATCACAGACTCTCTCTAGACTGTGAAAGAGAGCTTTCTAATCAGATTGCAACTTCCTTGAGCCAAGGAATGGCTCCTTGTCATCCTTAGCGGGCAAAAGTGGCTTAAAGCCAGGCCAGTCACCTTTTCGCTGGAGGACTGCAGAACCCCTCAGTCCCCTCAGCTGTCCATATGAGGCTGCAGTAGAGCCAGGCCCACACTGACCCACGCTGGCCGAGCTCTGTGAATCCACAAGTCCAGACCAGATAGCAAACCATGTTATGTGACATCTGTGCTAAAAGCATCTTTAAAAGAAATTTAAAGTGTTCTTTGCTCTTAAGAAAGAAGGTTATGGAATTTTCTGGAATAAGAAATCCCTTAAAACTGAGTCACTATTTCTCTTGCTGTTAAAAAAAAAAAAAACTTTGTCATTGGAATCAAAGCACACTCTAGCAACTGGGAAGCAGAAGGCAAAAGAGATTGATTTCTCCTTTTCCTTAATGAGTGTAGATTGGAATCTGTCATCAACAAAGAGAGAAAGGCAAGTACTTCTCTTAATTTTCTTTTTTTTTTAGAGAGAGAAAACCCCCCCAGAGATTAGGGGGTGGGGTGGTTAGGGGCAGAGGGAGAGGAAGAGAAAGAATCTCAAGCGGGTGCCCAGTGCAGAGCCCAATGTGGGGCTCGATCTCACAACGCAGAGATCATGACCTGAGCCAAAATCAAGAGTCGGATGCTTCACTGACTGAGCCACCCAGGTGCCCCTGGGCAAGTATTTCTTAAAGAAGGTCAGAGAAGGGCACGGGGATACAGGATCAGAGAGGAAGTGATGTCTGATTCCACCTTTAACAAGACCCATTTCTAATTCACTTTGTGAACAATTAGCTGGTCGGTGGGCCCAACGAAAGAATGATGGCATTTGTTGCTTTTACATCACTTTAATACCTTGTGGGGGGGGGGGGATACTGTACTCTCACAGCAGACAGAAATAGCATCTTCCCTGGATTGTTAAGACCACAGCACCACACGCATTCCCTAGATCCTGCCAAATTCTTAGGCCAAGTCTCACTAGGCCAGTCCAGGTATAAGCTAACTCTGGGGGCGCCGACAGCATGAAGTAAGGTGAACAATACGGAGGAGGATCTGAGTAATAACTCACCATTACTGGGCATTAAACCGTGGATGAGAAACTCCCCCCAGGCTCGGGCTGCTGGCCTCCCTGCGCCGGGAATGAATTCGAAGAGAGGATCTCACACACACCTGGGGCCGCCTGCGTCCTTGCAGGAAGCACACACCCCTGGACTCATCAGTTTATGCAGCAGCCGGGTGGAAATGGATTAGGTCTCCAATCCGGTAAAGGTGGCCTCTTCCCTTCATTCCTGAGCTGGGGAGGGTGGGGGGGGGAGGTGGAAGTGGGCTCCAGTTTATTTTTAAAACCATGTATTATCTGGGAGCTGTGGATAACTGCCACTGCATCCCCACCCCCACCCCCACCCCCACCCCCCGAGGATCCGGAGGCCAGATCTCCTCCCCTCGGCTAAGCGGCCGCTCTCCCTGCCGGCCCGAGGTCCCGAGCCAGGGCAGCCGGCGCATCTCTCCGGGGCGGGGGCGGGGGCGGGGGCGGGGGCCGGGGCGGGGGCCGGGGCGGGCGCAGCAGGGCTCCCGAGCTGCAGCCTCTCCTTCCCCAGACGCCCCCGGAGATTTCATCTTAATTAACCGTGAGGGCTGGAGGGAGCGCCGGGGATTTTTGGAAATCGAGCACGCGCCCGCTTTTTGTCCGCTTCCCATCCTCCAGCCACCGCAATGGCACCGAAACGTAAACACAAAAGCAGAAACGAACGGCAAGAAACAACAACGTCTCACCTGCACATGCCGGCGCCAAAGTCCGGCGCAGGACCCAGACCCGGGCAAGCAGGCACCGCCGCCGGGGAGCCGCCGCGCGCGGGGAGGCTGCGGAGCCGCGGCGGCGGGGGGGGCGGGGCCTCGCGGCGGGGGCGGGGCCTCGCGGCGGGGGCGGGGCCTCGCGGCGGGGGCGGGGCCTGCGGTCACGTGCGCGCGGCGGCCTCTAGCCCCGCCCACCCGCGGGCCGCGGACTTGGGAGCCCCGCGCTGCAGCGAGCCAGGTCCTCCGCAGACATGAAGCCGCGGGTGGAGCGCAGGAGCTTCCTGGCTTCCGGCTTGCTGCTGCAGCAGGTGGCCATCGTCACCGGCGGGGCCACGGGCATCGGGAAGGCCATCGCCACCGAGCTCCTGCATCTGGGTACGAGCGCAGGCCCCGCGGGTGAGGCTGCCCAGATCGAGGGCCCCCGGGGTCGCGCACCCGCGTTCCCTGGGGTCGGGAGCCAGGGGGCTGCGAGGCCGGCCTGGGCGACGGGGACTTGCAAAGCCCCGAGGCTGTGCAGGTGCGCGGAGTCGGACCCGCGGGGGCACTCGGACCGCAGTTGCCAAGAAAGTGTGCGGAAGCGTTGAATGGCGAGGCCCCTATTTGTAAAGTCAAGGGAACAGTTAGCATCAGAGATGATGGTGCTCGAGGTAGGGAAGGTCGTTCTCCTTAGACCTGCGGAAACGTGCTGCGGGGTTATTTGTAGATGTGTCTACAGGGAATCCAGCCCATGTGTTACCTAAGGAGGAAACACAAGACGACTTCGTTTCACTCCCTTAGGTGTTAAAGGTTGTAACACCGAGAGACTCCTGCCTATCGTATATGATCTTCATGGCCTCTTTCTTTTCTTTCTTTCTTTCTCTCTTTTTTTTTTTTTTAAGATTTTATTTATTTATTCCTGAGAGACACAGAGAGACAGAGAGAGGCAGACACACAGGCAGGGACTCCGGGGTCACGCCCTGGGCCAAAGGGCAACGCTAAACCGCTGAGCCATGCAGGTGCCCCTTCTCTTGTAATTCTACCTTAACTTGGGAGAAGGGAGGACTTTGTAAGCACTTGAACAAGAAATCGCAAAAGGGAAAATAGACTAGGTTTACCTCTATGAAGATGTAAATCCTTATTGAATTTAAAAGTCATGTAAATAAAGTTTAAAGGCATAAGAAGAAAAACCTGTATGATGTACAACAAATGTATAGAGAGCTCTCACAAATAGGGAAAAGATCTAAATAAACAGGGAAAAGAGCTAACACAGAGAAATGCAGGCTAATGATACGGACCAAGTGTTCCAAATGGAGCACTAAAATAAGTCATGAGTGTATGAGAAAATAATCAACTCTACTGGAATAAAATGCAAAATAAAACAGTAATACGATGCCACGGCTTTGCAATCTTTTAAGACATTGGGGGAAATGTAAATGTTGAGAGAGTGAGAAGGCAGGCAAGACTGTAAACTATTGCAAGTTTTCTAAAGGACGATTTGGAAAAAGAAAGATTTAAAAAAGTATTAATGTTCTGGCTCTGTGACTAGTAATTCTTCTCTTGGGGTTTAACTCTAAGGAAACAGAGACAAACACAGATTTGCCTAAAAGGCTGTAGTGTTGAATAGTGAAACATTGGAAATGACTAAGTATCCATTAAAAGGCAATCATTAAATCAGTAAGAATGAAAAATACTACTATTGAAACATCTTACTATTGAAGACTATGGTGGGAAAAGGTATAATATAATCAAAGCAGGATTCTAAACAAAATACTCCAATTCAAAATTGGTTGTTAATGAAAAATACATAGAAAAAGAGTGGAAGGCAGTTTGTAACATTGTTAACAGGAACAACTTTTTCTGTAAGTGATTTGGTTAAACCGTCTTCATTTAAGAATTTTTTTCAGGAATACATAAATCGCCTTTACTCACCATTGTGTTTCTAATGATTCGCACATAGTATGAACTAAAAAAAGTATGTTAAAAAATATATCTTCTTAAAAAAAGATTTTATTTTTAAGTAATCTCTACCCATGGTGGTGTTCCAGCTAACAACCCTGAGATCAAGAGTCATGTACTCTACCAACTGAGGCAGCCAGGAGACCTGAAAAAAAAAATGGAAATGAACATTTTTTATTCTGGCTCTAGCATGGCTTCACCAGCCAACATTCTACTCCCAACACCAAATTCTATCCCATTTCAGGAAAACTGTAAAAATAGCAGAATCAATGATCATTTTATGTGGTCAGAATGACCTTCCCAACACAGTTGTCAGATCCTGGCTCCACTTTACAGAACCTTTTATGCATTTTCATATAATTGAACTTTGTTCTTATTGATAAGTTTGCATTGTCAGGACACCTAGGTGGCTCACCAGTTGAGTGTCTGCCTTCTGCTCTGGGCATGATCCCAGCGTTCTGGGATGGAGCCTGTTTCTCCCTCTGCCTATGTCTCTGCCTCTCTCTGTGTCTCTCATGAATAAATAAATAAGATCTTTAAAAATTTTTTTTTGCATTGTCAAGCTTTATCCTTTTATTTTTTTTCTAAGATTATTCACAAGAAACACAGAGAGAGAGGGGCAGAGACACAGGCAGAAGGAGAAGCAGGCTCCATGCAGGGAGCCTGACGTGGGACTCGATCCCGGGTCTCCAGGATGACGCCCTGGGCTGAAGGCAGGTGCTAAACCGCTGAGCCACCCAGGGATCCTGTCAAGCTTTATCCTGTGGCAGACTGTTTTTATTAGTTTTATGAGCTGAATATTGAGGCATGCTTTTTAAAATGATGATTGTTGTTTCATCTTTCACAAATGGTTTTGATCCTTCTTTTTTTTCTGAGAGGATGCCAAAAGCCCTAGCCAAAAGCCCTTACCTAGGTAAGAGAGAGTGAACACAACTGGAACCCTCTGGAATCTATTGGACAGATTCTGTTAGACAAAGGGAATCCTGATTCCATCAAGGAAGACCATTCAAATTGAATTCAAACCAGATCCTTGTCTTTGCTCTCAAGTTTATCATTCTTTTTCTGTGACAGAAAGGGACTACCAGCCTCAGCTTGGTGGAAGAGAGGGAGGAAAATTATCAATATAATCCAATTTAAATCTACTGTATACCTCTGGGAAGTCCAGAAGTTGCAAGGCTCCTCCTTCTATCTGAGGCTGCCTTGACCAGTATTTCTGATTTATTTGTATATGAAAAGAAGGAAAGGTTCCTTTTAGGATGAGCTAAGATGTTGTGTACAACGAGGAGAGGACCTTCTGGCAGCAATGAACAGTAAGGTTCAGGATCCCACCACAGGGTGAATGGATATTTTAGGATGTCATAGCTTAGTATTTTTACTTAAGGAAAACAGTGGTGGTGGTGTCAACACTCACAAGGGCCACTATGCCTTTTTAGAATTCCATTTACATTCAATTCTAATTTCACTTCCAGTGTTACCAATTTTTATTTTTTTTGTTGTATTTTCATCTTTTCTGACCAGGCCTCCTTCAATCATAGATTTATTACTTGGAGACATGGAGGCAATGCAATTGTATTCTTTGCTGTCTGTGCGAGAATTGAAGACCCAGTGCCCAACCATGCACAGACATAGAAAGAAGTGACATGATCAGTCACTGATCATCTGTTGTTCAGTAGTAATCTGTGGACTCAAGAGCTATAGGTGAAGTTTATATTTTATGCAGCTGCTTGGAAACCGTTTGATACTTTAAGAGAGGCTTGTTGTATGTTAAGTGTTGACCTGAATGGCCTTTAATCTAGGGTTAATTTTGCTTCACTACTGAGGCCGTACTCTTCTGAGTATTTGACTCAATGTCTCTTGAAAGATTTTGCCTCGGTGGAAACACTGACTATTCCCAGTGCTGTCTTGGCCTCCCTGGACACTCAACTTTGTCCCTTCCTGGGGTCTGAATGGGTTCCTCCTCCTTCATGAGCTGCACCTGGGAAACTTTCCAGGCAGCAAGATGCAAGGATCCTAGGGCTCGCATTATTTGCTTCTACTCTCTAGAGATCACTGTCTTGCTACCCAATGCCCAGTGCCTGAAAACCATTCTGCATTATACTCTGTCCAGTTTTTTAGTTGTTTAGGTTTGGAGAGTAAGTTCACTTATTGATGTTCCATTTTAACCAGAAGCAGAAGTCTCGATTCATCTTTTTTTTTTTTTAAAGATAGATTATTTATTTATTTATTTATTTATTTATTTATTGGAGACACAGAGAGAAACAGAGAGGCAGAGACACAGGCAGAGGGAGAAGCAGGCTCCACACAGGGAGCCCGACGTGGGACTCAATCCTGGGTCTCCAGGATCAGGCCCTGGGCTGAAGACAGACGCTAAACCGCTGAGCCACCCAGGGATCCCTCGATTCGTCTTTTTTATGGGCACACATGAAACACTTTCTATACATTGTTTTTAAAGATTTTATTTATTTATTTGAGAGAGAAAGAGTGACTGAGAGAGAGGGAGAGAGAGATAGAAAGGGAGCAGCGGAAAGAGAAGAGGGAGAAGGAGAAGCAGACTCCCCACTGAGCAGGGAGTCCCATGCTGGGCTCAATTCTAGGACTCTAGGATCATGACCTGAGCTGAAGGCAGGAGGCAGATACTTATCAAACCGATTGAGCCACCCAGATGCCCCCCGCCCCCAGCTCTTTTTAAAAAGATTTTATTTATTTGAGAGAGAAAGAGCAGGGGGAGGGACTTTTTTTTTTAGTTTGGACAACCAGTGAAAGCATATTTACTTTATAAATATATTTTTCAGAAGAATGAAACTGATGAAGTATATGAACTTATTCCTGGGAGTTGGCTGGTGTGGGAAGAGCAGATGTGCTGGCAAGGAGAAATGCAAGTCAACACAAGATGGAGAAGACTTTCCGGGAATAATGCACTCTGGATAATTAAAATAACTTCTATTGCTGGCTTGTAAATCTCCTAGGCCAAAAGCGCTTATATTTTAATGGATAGCTGAATCACCTGGAGGACTAACTGAAACTGCTGGGCCCTACCCCCAGAATTCCTAATTCAATGGACTTTAAAAAAAAAAAAAAAAAAGAAAGTATATTTACTTACTCTTTGACTGTTTTCTTTTCAGGATGTAATGTGGTCATTGCATCTCGTAATTTTGATCGATTAAAATCTACTGCAGAAGAACTGAGGGCCAGCCTACCCCCGACCAACCAGGCTCAGGTCTCTCCCATAAAATGCAACATTCGCAAAGAAAAAGAGGTAATGTGAATATGTCTATATTGTTTGTTCATTCATTTTATTTAGAGTAGTGGTTCCTATCCCTGTGGTTCAGGTGTTCCTATGGTAGCTGTCTTAGATGAGGTGGACTGGAAGCAGAGCCTGTGAAAGAGATTCTTTTGCTAATGATATATTGAGCAAATTACCTCCAGAGGAAGAGATGGAAAGAAACAAGATAAGGAAACTAAGCAAGGATGTGGTCTCAGCGAGATTACTTTTTGTGCCTTTTGCCCTTTAAGTCATTTCTTTATTTTATTTTTTTAAAGATTTTATTTATTTAATTTTTTAAAAAAGATTTTATTTATTTATTTATTTATTTATTTATTTATTTATTTATTTATTTATTTATTTGAAACACAGAGAGAGAGAAAGAGAGGCAGAGACACAGGCAGAGGGAGAAGCAGGCTCCAGACACAGGAGGGAGGGACTCCAGGATCACACCCTGGACCAAAGGCAGGTGCTAAGCCACTGGGCCACCCAGAGATCCCAGGGTTTTTTATTTAAGTAATCAGGCATCTCTACACCCACCGTGGGGCTCAAACTCACAACCCCAAGATCAAGAGTCACAGGTTCTACCAACTGAGCCAGACAGGTGCCCCTTTTCATTCATTTCTTAATGTTAATTTTAACCTGATTTCAGTACTATTCATTATTCTAGGTTTACAGCTTACAAACTCATACAGGTAGGCTTGGATTTAGGAGTGATCCCGGCTCTTGGATAAATCTTGTCATCTAAATGACCAACTTAGCTTTATGATCTGTAGATATTGTGGCATTTAGAGTTACCATTGACTGCAACAGACTGCAAGTTATTTTCCTCTCCTGGAGCAAGCTATCAGTCCAAGTAGCAAGTTAGATTATTAACCAGTTTCCTTTTAACATTTTTCTTTAGGTGAACCATTTGGTCAGATCCACCTTAGAGATTTATGGTAAAATCAATTTTTTGGTAAACAATGGAGGAGGCCAGTTCTTGTCTTCTATGGAACACATTAATGCAAAGGGATGGCATGCTGTGATTGAAACCAACCTGACAGGCACCTTCTACATGTGCAAAGCAGGCAAGTAAGATCAATAACCCAAAAAGTCAAGGTGTCTTTATTTAAAGATCATAGATAATCTTGAAAGAGAATTGTCAGGGGCTCAGAAACTCCATGTCATTAGCATTTACTGCTGCATGTATTCACATACAACACAGGAATGTAACTTGTTGCATTTTTTGGGTAGTAATTTGACAGTATTTGTAAAATATGGATATGCTTTAATCTTATAATTTTATTTCTAGGACTTTATCATGAGAAAATCATTAAGAATCTGTACAAAGATATAGCTACAAAGTTTTTAGATATTTGATATGGCACATAGTACTTTATTTATTTTAATTTCCAAACTATTCTTGGCTATTCATGACCTTTTCTTCTTCCAGATGAATTTTATATTAAGGTTTTTTCCTCAAAAATCCTGGTGGGGAATTTGATTGGATTGTGTTCAACCTATCAATAATTTGAAAATAGTTAATGTGTTGAAATACCATCTCTTCATCATGGCACATCTTTCTATTAATGGATTCTTATTTTATTTTTTTTTAAATTTTTATTTATTTATGATAGTCACAGAGAGAGAGAGAGTGAGAGGCAGAGACACAGGCAGAGGGAGAAGCAGGCTCCATGCACCGGGAGCCCGACGTGGGATTCGATCCCGGGTCTCCAGGATCACGCCCTGGGCCAAAGGCAGGCACCAAACCGCTGTGCCACCCAGGGATCCCGAATTCTTATTTTATAATTTTTGGCAAAGGTTTATGTTTACATAACATTTAAATCTCTTTTTATTTTTTTTTTTTTAAGTAGGCTTCATGCTGGGCATAGAGCCCAACACAGGGCTTGGACTCATGATCCTGTCATTGACCCAAGCCAAAAATCAAGGGTCAGATGCTTAACTCACTGAATCACCCAGGTGCCTCTCTTGTATTTTTTAAATTAAGGTTACATCAGATATTTTTGATAACTTCTGTACTTTTGAGTGGGCTTTTTTTAAAATTATTTATTCATGAGAAACACAGAGAGAGGCGGAGACACAGGCAGATGGAGAAGCAGGCTCCATGTGGGGAGCTCGATGAGGGACTCAATCCCAGGACCCCAGGGTCACAACCTGAGCTGAAGGCAGACACTCAACCACTGAGCCACCTAGGTGCCCCTTGAATGGGCTTTTTTCCCCAATTATTTTTCAACTGGATTACTGTTGGTTTCTGGAAGAATTATTTTCTCAAGTTGATCTTGTAGCTATATCTAGTAATTTGTGGTTTTATCTAATAGTTTTTAAAATTAGTCTTTTGAGTGTTTTAGATTCACAACCATGTTGTCCAAAAATAAATGCTGTGTTTCATTGTCAAAGATACAGTCAATTGTAAAGTGCACGATCATTTTATATAACCCTAAGAAAGTACAGTATATCCCTAAGTATATCCCTAAGAACGTACATTTGAATCTTAAGAAGCCACCAACTATGAGATATATCCCTGTTTCAACAATGTGAAAATAATAAGAAAGAATTCTCATAGAGTTCGGAAATACTATACTTTATGTCTTCTTTTCTAGTGGCTTTACCTCCTTTTTTTTTTTGGTCATATATTATGTATTGGTAAGAATTCACTGGAAAGGAATAAGTAATAATAGGAAAGCATTCTTATTTTTGCCCAAGCCTTTAATAGGAATGGGTCTTACATTGTTCTCTGGCCTTTATATTCTAAAAATTAGATTTCTATTGAAGTGAGTCTTGAGGGTACATATCTGGCATTGCCTTGATTTGTATGAATAGAGTTGATGACTAAATATCAAGTATCCTATTTGAAAAAGGATAAAATACTTAAAGAATGAGGGATGCCTGGGTAACTCAGTTCAGCATCCGACTCTTGATTTCAGCTCAGGTCATGGGCTCAGGGTCGTGACATCGAGTCCTGTGTGGCTGTGGGGCTCTGTGCTGGGCATAGAGCCTGCTTAAGATTCTCTCTCTCCCCCTCTCCCTCGCACTCCCACTCTCTCTCTCCCCAAAGAAAAAGAAAAGAAAAGAAAATACCTAAAGAATTAAGTTAACAAAAGAAGGATAAGACTCATATCTAAACTACAAAACATTGCTGACAGAAATGAAAGATCGAAATGAATAGAAACACATTTGATATTTATGAATTGGAAGGCTTGATATGGTTAAGATGGTAGTTCTTTCCAAATTGATCTGTAGGTTCAGTGCAGTTCCTATTACTTTTGCAGAAATTGACAAGCAGATCCCAAATATATGTGCAAATGCAATGGACTCACAATAGCCAAAACAGTTTTGCAAAAGAGGAAAGTTGGAGGACTTAATACTTCTTGATTTCAAGACAGTATGGTACTGTCATAAGGGTAGATGTATAGATCATTGGCACAAATTTGTCAGTCCAGAAATAAAAGTCAGACTCTTTTATTTATGATTTTTGCCAAAGGAACCAGGCCAATTCTATGGGGGAAATGATAGTGTTTTCAGCAGATGGTTCTGGGACATTGGCTATCCACATGCAAAAAGACCCTTACCTCACACCATAAATAAAAGTTAACCAAAAGTACAAAATGGACCATGAACCTAAATGCAAAAAGTAAAATTGTATAACTTTTAGAAGCAAACAAAGGACAAAATCTTTATGACCTTGGCTCAGGCAAAGAGTCCTGAGATATACCACAAAATACCAAAGTAAAAAAAAAAAATTGATAAATTGGACTTAATCAAAATTAAATATGTTTGTGCTTCAAAAGACAACATTAAGAAAATGAAAAGTAAGCCATAGACTGGGAGAAAAGATTCCCATATCTTTTCTGATAAAGGACTCAAATCCAGAGTATAAAAAGAACTTTTATAATTCAATATTAAGAAAACAAATCAATTAAGAAATGGGCAAAAGATCTGGATTTTTTAAAAAAAATTTATTCATGAGAGACAGAGAGAGAGAGAGAGAGAGGCAGAGACATAGACAGTGGGAGGAGAAGCAGGCTTCATGCAGGGAGCCTGATGTGGGACTTGATCCCAGGACCACAAGATCATGCCCTGAGCCAAAGGTAGACGCTCAACCGCTGAGCCACCCAGGGATCCCTGAATAGATATTTTACGAAAGTATATATATGAATGGCTAATAAGTACATCAGAAGATTCTCAACACTGTTAGTCATGAGGGAAATGCAAATCAAAACCTCAGTGGGGGGTGCCTGGATGGCTCAGTCAGTTAAGTGTCTACCTCTAGCTCAGGTCATGATCCCTGGGTCTTGGGATTGAGCCCAGTGTAGGGCTCCCCGCTCAGCGGGGAGCATGCTTCTCCCTCTCCCTGTACCCCTCTTGCTCTTGCACACATGGCTCTCTCTCTCTCTCTCAAATAAAATATTTTAAGAAAAAGTCTCAGTGAAATATCACTTCAAGCCATTAGAGTGACTCTAATCAAGAAGTCAGACAATAATAGTATGGAGAACGTGGAACCTTCTTGCATTTCTGGTAGGAATAGAAAATAGTAGAAACACCGAAAAATAGTTTAGCAGTTTTTTAAAAGTTAAACATACAGTTACCATATGTCCTAGCGGTCCCACCCTTAAGTGTCTACCAAAGAGCAATAAAAACATGTCCTCACAAAGATTTGTATTTATAATCACCCAACAGTGGAAACCAAATGTTCATCAGGTGAGGAGTGGATAAATGAAATATGGCATATCTATTCACTGGAATACTATTTACAATAAAAAGTTAACTGTGGATACATGTTACCACATGGATGAACTTCACAAACAGTAAATGAAAGAAACCAGACACAGAAGACCACATATTGTGTGATTTCATTTATATGAAATGTCCAGAAAAGCCAAATTTATGTAAACAGAAGGTATATGAAGGTTTGCTTAGGGATGGCTTGGGCTGCAGATAGACACAAAGGAACTTTTTGGGGGTGATGGAAATGTTCTAAAACTGGATTGTAATGGTGGTTGCATGACTCTATTAAAAGTTATTAAATTATACACATAAAATGAATGAATTTTGTGATATGTAAATTATTTTCAATCGGGCTTTTTATTAAAAAAAGGAAATGTAGGGGCACCTGGGTGGCTCAGTGGTTGAGTGTCTGTCTTTGGCCCAGGGCGTGATCCTGAGGTCCTGAGTAAGTCCTGCTTTGGGCTCCCTGCCTGGAGCCTGCTTTTCCCTCTGCCTGTGTGTCTGCCTCTCTCTCTCTCTCTCTCTCTCTCTCTCTGTCCCTCATGAATAAATAAATAAAATCCTTTTTTTAAAGGAAATTTAAATTAAAAATATTAAAATAACAAGCAATGTGCTGGGATAGTGGATAAGAAAAGAGTCAGGACACTATTTCATGTGATTGTCATTGTTCTGTTTCCTGCAGTTTACAATTCCTGGATGAAAGAGCATGGAGGATCTATTGTCAATATTATTATCCTTACTAGAAATGGATATCCAGGATTTACGTAAGTATACTTAATGTATATTTATTTTTTCTTATGTCTTTGGGTTTTGTCCTGTGAATGAGGAGGAGGAGAGTGGAGAAAATTTCTTAAGTCACAATCCTTAATTCTTTAATGAGTTTTGATCTTAATACTTAGCATTGCCCTTTATTTGAACTTATAAAAATATACTTCCAAGGTATTCCCATCCTTATTAGACTTCCCAGGTTTACCATGAAAAGAAAACCAGGACACCCCATTAATTTTTTTATTTTAAGTCTGCCCCAAATATTACATGGGGCATACTTATGTTAAAATTTTTTTTGTTTTCATTTGAAATTCAAATTTAATGGAATGTCCTATATTTTATCCAGTAATCCTAATCCAGATGTCACTAAACTGGTCATCATTGCCTGGAGATATCGTTTTTGTTAATGTGTGGAAATGAAACTAATTTAGATTGATTTAGATTTGAATACTGTGAATATACCTATTCAGTTTTAGACAGAACTGCTAAATTGTTACTCCATAATGGAATTTGACATATTTGACTCTTATTCTGATGTGGAATTTGGAAATGGATTAAAAAAGAAAAGAAAAAGTCAATCAGTGAACTAATTTAGCCTACTGGCTCAGTCAATTCTTTCATAATAACCTAAAAGGGCATCCACCTAGACCACAGAGAAAAACAGTGTGCCAGGAAGCTACTTGAAAACCACACGTTTAGTAGTTTAAAAGTCTGGTTTACAAATAAATTGTTTTGCTGATTTCTTTCATATCTTTAGTAAATTCTGATTCCTTCCATTTTTTTTAATTAAGGACTTTTTTTATTTTCCAACATAGAATATTTCTTTTTATGAAATAGACCTATTTTAGTATTATAAAATCAAAGCATGCTAGTTTTTATATATATATAAAACTCTGTAAGATACAAAGTTGAATATTTTACCTTCTTATCCCAGAAATAACTTGTTTAACCAAGTAAGACAGTGACCTGAATTTCTTTATTAGTAGTATATAATCCATGATCTGCAGGGTAATGAATATTCTGTTTGCCATCATGATTTTTGCAACCATTGCTATTCTTACCTGAATCACTTACATTAGGGGTGAGAAAATGTTGATTTTTCTGATGTCGTGATTATTTCTCTATTTATTAGTTGATATTCTTTCATAAAAAAGACTTTTCTGCAACAGCCCTTCTCCCTTTCTCTCTGTATTTATTATTATCATTATTATTATTATTATTATTAAAATTTTTGGTATACCACTATTACAGGTCTACGGATTTCTTTTCAAATTTTTCTTTTCAAATGGCATGTAAGATCTCAGACTTAATAGAAATCTTGTATTGTTTCTACATTTTGCATTACGAGTAATTCTGCAGTGAATAACACTGTACATATTTATTTCATATTGGTGGAGTTATATCTTCAGGGTACATCCTGGAAGTTGGATTGCTGGGTGCAGGTGAAAGATAAATGCATACTTTTAGGTATTTCCAAATTTCTTTCCATCTTGCTCCCCCACCAGCACAGTATGAGTGTGTGTGTTCCCCACAGCCTGACCCAAAGTGTGTGTCATCAACTTCTAGACAACTCTGATGGGCAAGAAATGGGATTCTCATGGAGCATCTTTTGATTTGTTGAAAGGCTATCTGGATGTCTTCTGTATGTGTTTGAATCGTATTGCTGTCCTATTTTTCTTAATGTTGTCTGAGACTGGTCTTATTTTCCATTACATTGACACAGGGGAGTTTTTTTTTTTTAATGTTAGGGAGTATCCCCCTTTATTTATTTATTTTTATTTATGATAGTCACACAGAGAGAGAGAGAGAGGCAGAAACACAGGCAGAGGGAGAAGCAGGCTCCATGCACTGAGAGCCCGACTTGGGATTCGATCCCGGGTCTCCAGGATTGTGCCCTGGGCCAAAGGCAGGCGCTAAACCGCTGTGCCACCCAGGAATCCTGACACAGGGGAGTTTAGTCTGCTGTTGATCTTTTGGGTCATTGTCAGTAATTACAAGGGCAAAAGATAAGCCAAAAAAAAGCAACTCACATCTCCCATGGACAGAGAGTGTGTAAACCAAACGCCCATCACTCGGCGCATGACTAAGCTCTGTAGTATGTCTACATAACAGACTACACTTGGCAGTAAGAGGGAATGAGCTATTAACTCATGCAACAACCTGGATGGATCTCAAAATAATTATTCTGAGTGAAAGAAGCCAGATGAAAAAGAGCGTATACTGTATGGTTTTATGTGTTTAAGTTGTAGAAGCGTTGAAAACATTCGTTAGTGCTATATTCACTGAGAGTTGTACATCCCTCTGCCTCCTATTTATAAATTAGAGGAAGAAAATGAAGCAGTGTGACAGACTTCAAGACAGTTTATCACTTATAATATGTTCCCACACAGATTGTAAGAGGTTTTAAATCATATCTGATTCAGAAATAAGACCTTCGTACTTCAGAAAATTGGTCATTGAAAGAATGGATGTGAGACCTGTCGTGGAAATGGTAACATATAATCTCACTCAACTCATAGTTCAAATAAATGTCAGTCCCTCTGGGCTTTTCCTTTAGAAGAAGAGTGACTGGGCCAGCAGCACTTCATGTGACATGTCACTGCCAAGCTGAATTTGTCCTGATAGGGACCACTCTCCCTTCCTGGAAAGGGAGTCTTTACAAAACCCCCATGGTCCATTCAGGCTTCTCATCCACCTGGACCTCCCAGGGATGCCACCAGTATCAAGTCCTTCAGAACACAGTACTGGATCAGCTGTAAGTCTCTCTGGATTTGAATGAACTCTTCACTTTTTTCTTCACAAATGTCATAGGTTTTTGTTGTTGTTGTTTTGTTCTTTGGGTTTTTTGGTTTTGCTTGTTTGTTTTATCCCCAGAGATAAGTAGATTAGGATGTGCTGTTTTGGGATCCAGAGTAACTTCTTCGAGTTCTCAGTATAACTCTCTGCAGAACTGAATACCGTGGAGGAAGACTGCATCCTTCTTTCCTTAACTGGAACGGGTATAGAGTGGGGGGCCTCAGGTTTTCACACCTGTTGCACATGCTTTTGACATCATCAGTCATTTCACTTCCGACATCACCCCCTTCTCTGCTACCTTCTCTAGTAGATCTTTGAGTATGGAAACATAGTCTGAAAATACAGTTATGTTTGTGTTCAGTTTCTACTGAGTGCCTTCTCTTCATCTGTGAAGCTTGAGAACACTGTGTAGGGGGAGAAAAGGAATTATCCCTCTACTATTCTGAGTTCTTATTGAGACCCCTGTAATAAAAAACAAATTAACAAGACAAAAACAACTTTGATCACACACACACACACACACACACACACACACACACACACACACACACATACATCATGTATATGTGATGGGAGATACCCAGGGGAAAACAAGTAGCCTCCCTGAGTAGCTTAGACTACAGACTGAACCATTATCTTAGAAGGAAAGGGAATGGGAAATGGGGGCCTTGTAGAGAAAAAGAAAGTAATTTTTAGGAAAGATGCCTGGGCCCTTGGAAGAATAGATGGGAAGTCTGGTAATTTGTGACAGATGTGGGTGTGGAGTCAACTGCTAGTCTTTATACCTGTGACCAGAGACCATCTTCCCTGGTTGATGAAACTCTTGGGGAGGGGATTTATGGCAACTAGGTTGCTTTTGAAGGAACCCAGTCTATCTTTAGGCAGATAAGGGGAGTTCAGAGAAAGTGTCTCCCTGCATTTGCTGTTTTTCAAATGCCTACAGTCAACATAATGTATCAAAATAGCATATTTTGAGTGGCATGTCCTGAGCTCCTGTCATATTTTGGAAAGGCTTATTCTGTTGCCCTTCAACTGCCTCTTACTCATGTGCTACAAACTAATTCAGATGCTGAAATTCAATAATTCCAGTCTCTGGTTTTCCAGCTCTGTCTCTCAGTTCTAGTGGCTTTCTCTCATGGGCAGCTACCAGTTTCGGAACATCTGCCACTTGGTTCTTCAGCCTCATATGACTGTTTAGCCTTTTCCTATGATGAGAGGCAGGACTTCATGTGGTGGCCCTGGTGATCAGGGGCCTGAGTGCAAAAGGACAAACGACTCTAGGTCTTCCTCCCAGAAAAGGGTCAGGACTTGATTGTACTTCTACATAAGCATGTCTGGTCCTGCCCCTGCCTCTTGCTCCTGGTATTATGGAGAAGTCTGGCGATTTCAATTATTCTTCCCAGCTGAGTGTTGGTTAGGGCCCCCTCTTGGTATTGGTGGCGGTAGGCAGGGCAAGGGAGCATAATTGTAACACTTGGTGTCCTTTTCACACAGTAGATTGACCCAGGACTGCTTAATGGCAATAGCAACAAGTTGTGGCCACATCTGATGGTGGTGGGATTGCTTGGAGAATTCTGACAAAGTAATTGGCTTCTGCCTGGAGTCCCATGAGGGTTGTTGCAGCTAACACTGGGACAGTGATGGGTTTCTTCAGGAAGGTTGGGCTCTCTAAGTCTTCTCTAGTGAGAAGTGGATACACCCCCAGATCTCGCATACTTGCTTCTAAGGACCTCGTAATAAGTTCTAAGCCACAGTGTATCTGTACCTTATGCATAAGACCCCATAGAGATGAAAACTTAAATATTTTGAACTTCCTATCTGAAAGTATGTTAAAATTTAATTAAATGTTAGGGTGTCTAAAAATTCTATCAATACTGTTTTTTAGCCTCATATATGAATTTATCCCTATCGTCTAAATAATTCATTTTAAAAATAACCACACTTGTAACCCTCAAGATTACCAATTTGATAGTTTCTCTACATCATAAAAAGGTTTTCGGAATATTTCTCATGGTCATGGTATTTTGGAGGATCTTATGTGTGCCTGTAATGTAAGATTTGTTCAACTGTCAGATAGCTGTGTTTTGGCTTTAGCATCGAAGCATCCACTTCTTTCCCATTGTTCAAGAGTCCAAAAGACAGACTCAACAAGAATATATTGTTGGGGCTCTGGTAGGTCACTGACAAACCTGTTCATTTAGTTAACGAGAAAAACATTTGATGGAAGCCGATTGTAATTTTATGTTTTGTCTTTTAAGGCATAGTGGAGCTGCTAGAGCAGGGGTTTACAACCTCACCAAATCCTTAGCTGTGGAATGGGCCAGCAGTGGAATAAGGATCAACTGTGTTGCCCCTGTAGGTAAACTTCCATACAAAAGCCGTTGACAAATTGTGCTCTTCTGAGGATTAGAAGTCAAGAGAAAATGTCTCGGCGACATACTGTAAATTGTAGAGGAAAAAATCATAATACGTTCGAATCATGATATGTTCAATTTCATTTTTTGTGAAACAAGATATAGCTTAAGCCTCCTTGGGTATTGCATATTGGCCATGTACTCCAGGAGAGAGGTCACGTGAAACATCTCATTCATCCTGCAAAACTCAGCTTGTATCCACTTCTCTGTGATGTTTTTTGGTTATTGCTAAGATAGTAATCACCCCTGTATCTGAAACTATAATAACATCTGTGGGTATTATCTACAGGTCTCTCTATATAGTATCTGCAGATATTGTTACCCATGCTACTCGGTGAGAACTAAGCAAGTCACTGGAGAAATCTCATCTCTAACAGATTGCAGACTTGCCACCAGAAACTTCATTTCCCTTCAGTACCTCACAGCTGACCTGACCTTACCCACACTACACTCATGTATTTCTAGGAAAAAAAAATCATTATAGTTCCATTCTTTGTGTTGATATCTTGGAATATTGGCCCCCAAAAGTGCATTTCTTGAAAACGTTTAATGGTATGTTAATGTTACTAAAGTCACATTTGTTCTCTAGAGGCATTTTGTCTAAACCTTAATATTTCTAGAAGATTTCACCCTCTTTTATTTTATTTTGAGGGGTGGGAGGGGCAGAGGGAGAAGAAGAGAGGGGGAGAGACCGAGGGAGAGGGACAAGCAGACTCCCTACTGAGTGTAGACCCTTATGTGGGGCTCAATCTCACCCCCTGAGATCATGACCTGAGCTGAAATCAAAAGTCAGATGCTTAACTGACTGAACCACCTGGGCGCCCCTCATACTCTTTTAATAGAAGGTTCCAAATTGTTTGATTGGAAACCAGTATATTACCCATTATCATTTGGAATGATACCAAATTCTCCCATCTTCCTTTCATTCCTTCTGTTCCCTCTCTTCCTCCCCATAACCTCTGCTGTACTTATGAGTCAGTAACAAATAGCTTTATCATGTGTTACACAGTTGAGTAATTTTCTTGACTTTATAAACCCTAGAAAACTAGTAAAAGCTAAATAAAAGAATTCCCCCAAAATTAAAATTTTAGTTCTTTTATATTGGATTCAGATGTTTTCTCTGTGATTTCACCATAGTGAAAAACCCATGAAAACATTGATTTTTCTAAGTCTCCCATAACAACAGCCCAGGCTTCTGTTATAAAACTGAGAAGCCTGGTGGAAGATAGAATACTTCCCTATCTCCCTATCCCCAGCAAAGTGCCTCTCTGATCTATTCATTTAATTATGCTTTTAGAAAACCTATCTTTTCAGGAAAAATCTAGGGCTTGGCTGGTCATTAAGGGAGAGGAAGTCACAAAATGAGTTCATCAGATAATCAATTTATAATTATGGTTAATGGTACTTTGATGATACTGAGAAAAATTAATATTAGAAATGATGATTTTTCTATTAAACTTAAGCCACTTACTTTCTGGCATTGGTCAATGACCTCCTTGATGTCTTTGTGACTAAAATTTAGTTTTATGGGGGCACCACCTGGGTGGCTCAGTGGTTGAGCATCCACCTTAGGTCAGGTCGTGATCCCGGGGTCCTGGGATCAAGTTCCACATTGTGCTCCCTGTGGGGAGCCTGCTTATCCCTCTGCCTATGTCTCTCCCTCTATCTCTGTGTCTCTCATGAATAAATAAAATCTTAAAAAAAATAAAATAAAATTTAGTTTTATGTACTTTATTCTGTGCTTGTTTTATTCTCAAACATAGGGAACCATTTATTCCCCGAGTGTTGTTGACAACTATGGTCCTTTGGCAGAAAACATGTTTGCAGGGTACTTTGAGAAAATCCCAGCTAAGCGAATTGGAGTGCCTGAGGAGGTAATGTATATTTCTAACATCGATTCCAATTGCTTTCTTTTATACTTTGGAAAATTGTAACACTTGGTGTCCTTTTCACACAGTCTGGTTGGCTGATGGAGATGAGTGCTCCCATTGCCACCAGCCCATTTTCCCTGCACTTTCTGGCTCTGTGACTTGCACACTCGCAGCAGTCTTTATCCGGGATTAACTGCAGTGTGAATCAAGAACAGCATGGTTTTATTGTTTCATTGCACTTTTCAGTCGTGTTATTTAATCACATGGCCTTTGTTGGTACACAGGACCCTAAACCAAATCAGGTGATTATGGCTAGGGTGGAGTTCCATACTCGATTTCTGTAAGGTGGCCAGATTTAAGTATGTAGAAATCAGAAGTTTTCTTAAAGGCCAGCAATATTAGTCTTAAAATACAATGAAAAAAAGGCTATCTTTTCTACAACAATAATAAAAATGGAAATACTTGACATAAGCTTAGCTCTCACTGACATGAAATTTATTCCTGAAGAACAGGAAAACAAGAATACATAGAGAGACATGTCATATTCCTCAATGGAGAGAATCAATTTTATTAAAATCAAGTTTCCCTTTGGTGACGGAGGGTAGCTACCCTTGTGCTGAGGGTAGCATCACAGAGTTGTGAAATACTATGTTGTACACCTGAAACTAATGTAACATCGTGTGTCAACTGTGCTTCAATTAAAAAATAATAAAAAATAAAAATAAATAAAATCAAGTTTCCCTAAATTAATGCACACATTTAATATTGTACTGGAATTAAACACACAGATTCTAAAGTTGGTCTAGAAAAATATTAATGCAAAAACACCAAAAAAATGTTTTGAAAAAGAATAATGGGGGGATTTGACCTTTGCAATATTAGAACATATTATAATGCTGTACTTATTTAGGATATCTGGTGCTGGCACTAGAATAGATTTTGGTGGAACAGAATGCACTCCTATATCAGTACCATGTATACATGAGGAGTTTATACAGCAAAAGTAGCATTTCAAATCTGTGAAGATAGGATAGCATAAGACTCACGGCAATTGGCTGTTTAATTAGAAATAAATTAGGCCTCCTATCTCATATCACATACAAAACAATTTTCAAATATATGAACGTGCTAAATGTAAAAGCGAAACCATAAAATTCTTAAAAGAAAATGTTTTCTAATTTCTAAACGAGCTTTCATTGTTATTTTGATGTATTTCTTTCCATAAATTTACTCTGCATACCCCAAAATACCTGTGCTTATTGACTTTGTTACAAAATGGGATTCTACTGTATGTACTTTTCTGCAACTTGCTACGGATATACCATGTTATGTTTAATTAGACTCCATTGTTGCACATTTAGATTCCATATTTTCAATATTATAGTATATCTGCAGTGAACATCCTTGATCACAGATATGCACTCTTGTGTGAGGGGTAACTTCTAGAATTCCTGAAGTAAAATAGTTTTGCGAAATACGTTTTTAGAAGATATTGTTAAATCAGACATTTGATGGGCCATTTTAAGCAAGATGCTTAGATTTCTATTCTGAAAACCGAGAGGGGTTTTAAAGGATTTTAATCAAGGGGATGATATGATCAAATTTTTATTTTGGACAGAACACTCCTTTTGTTTATGTAAACTATATTATCTCTATTTACTGTACAGAAATCAAAATGAGAAGTAAGAAATATTTATCTGTTCATTTAAGATAATAGTAATAAAGGCATTACATGTTAAAATAAATAATATTTTTTATTATTTTAATTTTAAAAAAATACTTTATTCATTTATTCATGAGAGACACAGAGATAGAGGCAGACACATAGGCAGAGGGAAAAGCAGGCTCCCCATGGGGAGCCTGATGTGGGACTGTCCAAGTGAGCCAAAGGCAGACACTCAACCACTGAGCCACCCAGGCAGCCCCTGTTTTTTTTACTTTTTAAGATTTATTTATTTAAAAATTTTTTTGAAGATTTTATTTATTTATTCATGAGAGACACAGAGAGAGGCAGAGACACAGGCAGAGGGAGAAGCAGGCTCCATGCAGGGAGCCCAATGTAGGACTTGATCCCAGGACCCCAGGATCACACCCTGGGCTGAACGCAGACACTAACCTGCTGAGCCACACAGGCATCCCTAAATTTTTTTTAAAGAATAAATATTTTTAATCAAAAATGGCTGTATTTTGAAAAGCAAAAGAAAGCCATTTTTTTTGCATTTGTTTTACACTTTTATAAGTCACTTTAATGTATGGCTTAACAGAATACAACTGGACTCGCACATCTGAGTCTGCATTCCAAATATTGCTATATGTTCTGTTTAAAGCATATGAAGAAAATCCAGCTTCATGTACATGTACAATTGGAAAAGGGAGGAGCGTTTTAGCAATCTTTTTAGATGATTGTGGATATTCTTTGATGTTTGACAAGTGGCTGTTTCTTAAAGATAAGGTTGCAATGTAGGGGGATACCAAGCCATGTCAGTGAACCTTTTGTAATCAGTTACATTAAAATCCATTGGGCTTTCTTTGCACTTTTTTTTAAAGATTTTATTTATTTATTCATAGACAGAGAGAGGCAGAGACACAGGCAGAGGGAGAAGCAGGCTCCATGCAGGGAGCCCGATGTGGGACTCAATCCCAGGTCTTCCAGGATCACACCCCAGGCTGCAGGCAGCACCAAACTGCTGCGCCACCAGGGCTGCCCTTTCTTTGCACTTTGATTAGATCTCTCACCCACAGATGATTTTGTGACATCAGTTATTGCTCTTTTTTTTTTTGGGAAACACTGGTCCACCAAGTTATGGAAATATTCTAGATGTTGATACACAATCCATTATACAATATCAAAAGATCACATTTGGGAGGAGTCCAAGATGGCAGAGGAGTTCGTTTTGTCTGGTCCCAGGAATTCAGCTAGATAACTGTCAAATCGTCCTGAACACCTGTGAACTCAGCTGGAGATCTAAAAGAGAACTGCTGCAATTCTACAAATAGAAAAGCAACCGTTTCTGCAAGAATGACAAAATGGAAAAACTCACCTAAAAAAAGAGAACAAGAGGGAGTACTGACTGCCAGGGACCTAATCAATATAGATATAAGTAGGATGTCAGAGCTAGAGTTCAGAATAATCGTCATAAAGATACTACATGGGGACTCCTGGATGGCCCAGTGGTTGAGCATCTGCCTTTGGCTCAGGGCATGATCCCGGGGTCTGGGAATTGAGTCCTGCATCAGGCTCCCTGTGGGGAGCCTGCTTCTCCCTATGCCCATGTCTCTGCCTCTCTCTGTGTGTCTCTCATAAACAAATAAATAAAATCTTAAAAAAAAAAAAAGATACTATCTGTGCTTGAAAAAAGCATAGAAGGCACTAGAGAATCCCTTTATGGAGAAATAAAAGAATTAAAATCTAATCAAGTCAAAATCAAAAAAGCTATTAATGAGATGCAATAAGTGGAGGCTCTAACTGCTAGGATAAATAAGAAGAAACAATTAGATATAGAAGATACCACGAACTAGTGATATCGAATGATAGAGAATAAAGTAGCTGAGAAAAAGATAAACAACTACTGGATCACAAAGGGAGAATTCAAGAGATAAGTGATACCATAAAGCAAAATAATATTAGAATAATTGAGATCTCAGAGGAAGAGGAAAGAAAAAGAGGGGCAGAAGGTATATTTGAGCAAATTATAGCTGAGAATTTCCCTAATCTGGGGAAGGAAACCGGCATTCACGTCCAGGAGGCACAGAGAACCTCCCTCAAAATCAATATAGGTCAGCACCTTGACCTATAGTAGTGAATCTTGCAAATCTCAGAGACAAAGAGAAAATCCTGAAAGCCCCTTGCAACAAGAGGTCCATAACCTACAAGGGTAGAAACATAAAGCTGGCAGCAGCCTTATGTGTATGAATTTAGTGCCATTGTATTACCTGCAAGGTCACTATTTCTGTGTATTGTCTCTGTTCCTTTCTGGTCTATATTACTTTTGGGCTCTCTCTTTGTTTAAAGGATCCTCTTTAATATTTCTTGCAGGGCTGGTTCAGTAACCACAAATTCTTTAGTTTCTGTTTCTCCTGGAACTCTTTCTCTCTCCTATTTTGAATGACAAGCCTTGCTGGATAAATTATTCTTGGCTTCATGTTTTTCTCCTTTAGCACCCTGAATATATCATGGCAGTCCTTTCTGGCCTACCAGGTCTCTGCGGATAGGTCTGCTGCCAGCCTATCTGGGTTTAGGTTTTATTTGCTGTTTTTCTCCAGCTCCTTTAGGTATAAGGTTAGGAAGTGTATTTAAGACCTTTCTTGTCCTTGAGAAAGGTTTGTATTGCTCTATCCTTCCCTCTTAGGACTGCCTTTGCTGCATCCCAAAGGTTTTGAACAGTTGTGTTTTTATTTCCATTTGTTACCATGAATTTTTAAAATTCTTCTTTAATTTCCTGCTTGGCCCATTCATTTTCCAGTAGGATGCTTTTTAGCCTCCATGTCTATAAGCCTAAACCCAGCAGGAGAAGAAAGTTGATAAAGATTAGAGTAGAAATCAATGAAATGGAAACCAAAAGAACAGTAGAACAGATCAATTAAACTAGGAGATGGTTCTTTGAAAGAATTAATAAGATTGATTAACCCCTGGCCAGACTTACCAAAAAGGAAAGAGAAAGAACTCAAATAAATAAAATCACGAATAAAAGAGGACAGATCATGACCAACAGTGAAAAAATACAATTTTAAGAACATATAATGAGCAATGATATGCTAACAAATCAGGCAATCTGGAAGAAATGGATGCATTCCTAGAGATGTATAAACTACCAAAACTAAAAAAATAAAAAATAATAAAATAAACTACCAAAACTGAAACAGGGAAAAATAGAAAACCTGAACAGACCCATAACCAGCAAGAAAATTGAAGCAGTCATCAAAAACCTCCCAACAACAAGGGTCCAGGGCCAGATGGCTTCCAAGGAGAATTTGACCAAATATTTAAAGGAGAATTAATACCTATTCTTCTGAAGCTGTTTCAAAAAATAGAAATGGAAGGAAAACTTCCAAATTCTTTCTATGTGGCCAGCAATACCTTGATCCCAAAACCAAAGACCCCATCAAAGAGAATTACGGACCAACATCCCTGATGAACACGGATGTCAAAATTCTCACCAAGATACTAGCCAATAGGATCCAACAGTACATTAAAAGGATTATTCACCATGACCAAGTGGGATTTATTCCTGGGCTGCAAGGGTGGTTCAAGTATCCCGGTGTGAATAACCATAGTATGTTAGTGATTCTTTCAAGTTAAAAATGGTATTTCATGAAGAGAGTGACTAGTTCAACTGTTAGACTTCGCTATGGAGCAGAAAAGCTAATGTGTAGTTCCCACTTGATAACACAGGATATTAAAAAGGATACTGCTAGCCTTTAATCATGTTTACTGATTGATACAACTCTTGTGAATGGCTTGGTGCCTCAAATCCATCCATCAAATGGATTTTGTTAAAATGAAAGTTAAGGAGAACCTATCTGAAGATAGTACGATAGTGCCTAGTTAATTTGGTAGTTATAAAAATTGTATTAGTTCAGTTTAGCTCCGCATTGAGCGCCCAAAGTAAATCAGGCATCATGAATATTTATGTTTTACCTAGCACATGGTTTCGGTTCAGTTTAGTATCATTTAATGGTGCCTGGTCTGTGGGCAAAACGCTGTAGCAGGAGCTGGGTGATGCAACATCCCTTCATTTTAAGGGGAGAGATGGATGAAGATCCTTCATTTTATGAACATGTATTAAGTACTTATTTTTATCCTAAATACAGGAGGCCATCAGTCAATCTTTCAAACAAAATTCAGCACAAAGCCACATTTATTGCAGGTCAGGTACAGTCTCTTGAACAGAGCAAACTAGAACTCTTTCTCTTTTGGTGGGGGCAAGTGTGGTTTTAGAGGTCTGGAAGTCATGGTTATGGGGATGAGAGGGTTCTTGTTTGGCTGGCATCAGAAAGGAGCTTTTTGGGGTGAGTTGTCATTGATTGATTATACAGGCTAATACAAATCAGTCCTGGTGGTTACTTTTGATCATAGCTCAGAACTATCTGCCCCTTCTCGGGGGTGTGGGAAGTTTTCAATGATTAATTCCCTGCACTAGGGATGCATGGGTGGCCCAGCAGTTGAGCATCTACCTTTGGCTCAGGGCCTGATTCTGGAGTCCCGGAATCGAGTCCCACATTGGGCTCTCTGCATGGAGCCTGCTTCTCCCTCTGCCTGTGTCTCTGCCTCTATCTGTGTGTCTCTCATGAATAAATACATAAAATCTTTTTTAAAAAATTATCTGCACTACTGCTGTCCAGTAGAAATACCGTAGTAGTTATATAGGTAATTCTAAGGTAACTAGTATCCGCATTAAGAAAACTAAAAAGAAATGAAATGAAGATTGTGATAGTAATTTAATATACAATAGATAATAATATAATTATATATTATTATTAATAAGGTTTTACTCAATCCAGTATATCTAAAACATCATTTTACGTTCTTCTGTAGACTTTGCGTTCTTCTCTCCATACCAGGTCTTCAAAACCTAGTGTGTATTTTGTGCTTACAGCACATCTCAATTCAGAGTAACCACGCAGACTATTTCAGGGACAAGAACAGAGAAGGCACAGGATGGTGTGGACAAATGGGTTATGGTGGGCAACAATAGATGGGAGGAGCTGGGCGGTCGGGAAGAAGCAAGCCATGTGTTCACCTGGCTTATTCACATTGTGTGGCTTATGTGACCCTATATAATAATAATATATTATTATTAATATATTAATATAATATATTATATATTATAATTATAATGTTCCTTCACCTCCTGCCATGCTAGTCACGTTTTTTAATGGTTCTCAGATAGAAAAAGTCATTTATTTGTCCGTGTGCTGTCAGGTTGTGGTGCACACCGACTTCAGGACTCATGTTACAGTTGTGTTTCCAGATGTGTTTCCTTGGGCAGGGAGGCAGCCCCCGGTGGGGAGCCTCTGCTTTTCTGTATGCACATGTGTGCTTCTGTTTCCAGATCTCCTCGGTGGTCTGCTTCCTGCTGTCCCCTGGAGCTTCCTTCATCACTGGACAGTTGGTGAACGTGGACGGGGGCCAGTCTCTGTATACACACATATTCAACGTACCAGGTGAGCCCTCAAGAGATGCGCCATCACTAACTGTCTGCCCTTGCAGGTGCAGGTTTTCAAAATTTCTTAAGCAGTTACGTGTAAAGGATTAGGGTTGGCTCTCATGGCACATCAAAAGTGTACAAAATGTTTATCTTCCTGATACGATCCTTAAAGGAAATGTTCCCAGTCAAAGAAAACATCTAAGTATTTTCTATTGTAGCACATCGCTTTATATATTTTAAAAATTGCCTGTGTGTGCATAGGTTGGTGGAATTTTAACCTTGAAAAATATACTCGATATGATATATGTATAAGGAGGAGATAGAAAAGGCAAAAAGGTTGCCGTATTTTTAAGATTTAATTCCTTCTTTTTCCTTTAATAAGTGGCTTGTATATCTGAGCAGAAGAATCAGACCTATTAGGTGGGTGGGGTCCACGGTACTATTTTACGTGATCTTTGGGATACATATATTGAGTGAGACCATATGATTTTGCTGTATTCAACCATATTTAATATACAAAAGCAGTAGTTTTAGAAGGCTCAACCAGGGACACCTGGGTGGCTTAGTGGTTGAGCACCTGCCTTGGGCTCAGGGCATGATCCCGGGGTCCTGGGGTCGAGTCCCACATCGGGCTCCCCACAGGGAGCCTGCTTCTCCCTCTGCCTGTGTCTCTGCCTCTCTCTCTGTGTGTCTCTAATGAATAAATAAATAAAAGCTTAAAAAAAAAAGGTTCGACCAGATATAGATATTGCATACAAATATAAAATTCAGAAGTATTTTCACTGTTGCTAAAGAGTGTTAAGTGGCTACTAGCAAATTAAAATGTAGCTGAGGTAATGCATGTGTATTTTTTTTTAAGATTTATTTATTTCAGTGAGAGAGAGAGTACATGCACATGCAGGAGAGAGGGGCAGAGGGAGAGGGAGAGAGAGTCTCCAGCAGACTCTGTACTGAGTGTGGAGTCCGACGAGGGGCTCGATCTCACTATCCTGACATCAGACCTGAACTGAAACCAAGGGCCTAGTCAGACACTGAACTGACTGTGCCACCCAGGTACCCCACATGTGTATTTTAATTTCATAGCAGGGACCTAGGTTCCTCTTCCACAGAAGAGTACTAACAATCTACTCAAGGCTTCAGACCTTCTTTGCATTAATAAATGATTAGTATGGGACTTCAACATTATTTATTATTTCCCCCTCCCATCTATATTTCTTTACTAATAACATCAGTGTGGTAATGTGCATAAGATATCGTGGTTTTAAGGCTCATGTTTTGAAAAACAGAAATGCCGACCTGTTATGCAGTAGTTTTCAGATAGTATTTAAAGTGGCCAGGGCGGGAGGGTATTTGTCACTTTTCTTTTAGAAAGTAACCCCAGGTGGCTGCTTCTCCAGGCCTCCGGTGAAATAATTTTCTTTTGTAATTCCAACACTTTTGTTTTTTAAGATTTTATTTAGTTGAGAGAGTGAGCGCAGGAGGAGGGGCAGGAGAGAGAATCTCAAGCAGACTCCATGCTGAGCTCAGAGCTGGATGTGGGGGCTCCCTCTCACCACCTTGTGATCATGACCTGAGCTGAAACCAAGAGCCAGAAGCTTAACAGACTGCACCTCCTAGATGTCCAAAACACTGTATTTATTAGCGTAAAAATATTTTTTAAGTTTTTGGCAAAATCAGCTGCAGCAATTTTTCTTTTTTTTAAAGTTATTTCTACCTCTTTTTTTTTTTAAGATTTTATATTTATTTACTCATGAGAGACACGCAGAGAGAGAGGCAGAGACACAGGCAGAGGGAGAAGCAGGCTCCATGCAAGGAGCCCAATGTGGGACTCAATCCCGGGACTCCAGGATCACGCCCTGGGCTGACGGCAGGCACTAAACCGCTGCGCCACCCAGGGATCCCTACAGCAATTTTTCAAGAATATACTTCCCCGAAACAACGAGTGGAAATAGGGAGTCTTTCTGTCCTGTGTTTTCTTTAAGATTGCCAGCTCTGAAGTGACAAGGCCTGGGGTGGAAGCCCCACTTGACTCTTACTAGCTGTGTGATCTTGGGAAAATTAATTTCTGTAGGCTTCCGATTTCTTTTCTGCAAAGTGTGGTCACTTACAGCATTTTCTGAGTAAACAGTTGGGAGTATTTAATTAGATAATGCACATTTAAAGCCCTGTATCAGATACGATGCTTTTAGCTGCAGCTCACACTGGCAGGAAGGGCATTTACTGGCCCACAGCACTGAACAGCAAACAGAATCATCTGCTCATTGAGCTCATCAGGACAATTTTTTTTTTTTTCTGTAGTGTTGGCTTTATCTTAAGACGGACTCTGCTGGTTGCAGGATGGCTGCCTGCCACCCTGAAAGCCCCATGCTTCTTTGTTCACAGGCAGCTGGACAGAGAGAGGGGAGGGGAATGACTTTGTTACAGCATTTCTAGCAGAGTTAGAGACCTACTTTGTTTTGGACCAGCTTATGTGAGTGGCCACCCTCACCCAGTAACCACAGCCAGGGGGATGGCGTGCCCTGATTGACTTAGCTCAGTTGGTGATCTAAGTGGGGCCACTTTCCAGAACCTCATGGATTCCCAAGTAGAAGTGGAAGCTTACTTGGAAAGAGAGGATGAGGGACTAGATGCTGGGCAGGCAACTATGTGTGTACACACGTGGTTTTCAAGTCATCCTGGTTACTAAGGACGTGGTATGTATTGAGTGGCTGACTACAGCCAAGTGTTCTACATAGGCTGTCACGTTTAATCTTCACAACTTTAGAAGACAAGTGTCTGCAATCGATGAGGAAACAGGCTCAGGAAGAAGAACGTCTCCAAATTTGAAAAAGCCAGTGCATGGCAGGGCTGGGATTCAAAACCGGGATTTTCTCAAGACCTTTGCCAGTTGTCCTAATGATTTATTTTTTCTTGCTGAGAAAAGGGGTAAGCCAGGGAAAATAAGGGGGTTTGTTGGAAACTAAGGGGACTAAGGAGGGTTATAGGTTTGCGCTTGACATGAAGTTTTCCACTTCCTTAACAGATCATGACAACTGGCCTGATGGAGCAGGGGACATTTCCTTTGTCAAACATTTGAAGAATACTTTCAAGAATAAAAGCAAGCTCTAAGCTAAGTGAACTATAGAGGTATCTCTTGTCTCCAAATGCCTTAACATATCAAGAATGCACCTTAGTACTTTACAGGAGCTAATAATTTGTATGCAGCAATCACTGTCTGCCTTTTTAATGTTATCAAATTGTGCTTATGCAAAAACTATTCCAAAAATAAGTGCATTTTTAAGCCCCAACCAACACCATGTGATTAAAGATTTCTTTTTTAGGAATGGTGCTTAGCATACATTGTGATTGTGCCTTTTATTTCTAAGAAAGATATTTGAAAAATGAAACAATTTCAAATTGATAATAGAGGTATCATGATCTCCCAAAAGGTTTTAGTATTTAATTGTAGAAGTGGGAAGTAAATCTAAATTGTGGCATCATGATGATTCTTCAAACTAAAGATATACAGTGACTCATTTTTCATAGTAGATATCATGCTTTTGGATCCATAAAACTTTATGGTAATTATCAATGTGTGATTTGTTTTGTTCATGAAATCAACTTTGTATGAAGCCTCTTAATTCAAAAGAAAAATAAAGTTGTTCTTTTTTTTAAATTTTTATTTATTTATGATAGTCACAGAGAGAGAAAGAGAGAGAGGCAGAGACACAGGCAGAGGGAGAAGCAGGCTCCATGCACCGGGAGCCCGATGTGGGATTCGATCCTGGGTCCCCAGGATTGCGCCCTGGGCCAAAGGCAGGCGCCAAACCGCTGCGCCACCCAGGGATCCCAAAAGAAAAATAAAGTTGTATGTAGTATTTCTTGGTAGTACTTGATTTGTGTCTTAAGTTCCAATATAAAGTATTCCCTTTTCTTTTTTTTAAAATAAATTTATTTTTTATTGGTGTTCAATTTACCAAAAGTATTCCCTTTTCTTCATGTTTCTTTTTTGTATGCAAAACAATTGTTAAACGTCATGCTTCATGTATTAGGCTTCAGTATTCTGCTTTCAGCTGATTTTTTTGGGCAATGATCCTGACTTCTGAAATGCCATTTATAAACTATGTACATTCGTCTTTTTATTAAACCTCTTTCAATTGACTTATTCCCTCTTGATGTCGAGTAGATATTTTCTTTTCTTTATCAATAATTCTCAGTGCAACGTAAAGATCTCCCTTGACTTATAAAGGTTATCTCCTGATAAACCCATTGTTAGTTGATAATATTGTCAAGTCAAAAATGCATTAATATACCCAACTTAGTGAACATTAGTGGCTTAGCCTAGTCTCCCTTAAACATGCCCAGAACACTCGGGCAAGATCATCTCACACAGACTATGTGGTATTCAAGTGTTGACTGTCACATGTAATTTATTGAGTACTGTGCTGAAAGTGAAAACCAGAATGGCGTATGGGTGCAGAGGGGTTGTCAGTGTCTTGGTTATTTTCCCCCTTGATTGTGTGGCTGACTGGGAGCTACGGCTGTCTACCACTGCCCAACATCAGGAGAGAGAGACTGTGTCCTGCATATCACCAGCCTGGGATAAATTCAAAATTTGAAATACAGTTTCTACTGAAAACCTACCACTTTCACACCACAGCAAAGTTGAAATATCATGAAGCAAACCATCATTAAGTTGACAACAGCTGTATCTAATTCCCTATTCTCTGGGAAGGGACCCACAAATCAGCCATTTTACCAGGCTCCCACCTAGGCCCAGGACCTAGGCAAAGGAGATGCCTACGGAGCAGCATTAAAGAGACGCTCGCTCTTGGATTTGCCCAAGTGCAGCGTCACAGTACACACTCAGCTGTACATTTGGTGTCCATGCTATTAGTGGAGGAAGATCCGAAATCTTTTCCTTCTAGACAACACGTTACAATGGCCTCTGGACATGATATTACCATAGTTGTTAAGAATCACAAGCCATGTTAGAGAGCAGATGAGCCCCAAAGCACGTTGGTGTGGAAGATGGAAGAGACAGGGCAGGGCTTGCTTTTCAGATTACCTCACGCTGATGACTGCAGCAGCCCTATAAATCTCCAGTGTTGTCACTTGTTTATTTCTACCGAAGGCATGGAGGCCACCCCTCGTAGCATGAGACTTAGCTGCATCTTATTAGATCTTCGCGTTAGACCAATTATTGGACAGCTGATCATCATCTGTATTCTAGAATCATAAGTCTACTCCCCAGGACTTCTACACATTTCATGATAGTGTCCTGTAGGGAATGTTCTTTTGCTACTACATGTACTAAATTTTTCTGTGGACTAAATATTTCTGAATAAACTTAATCACTTGATAATTTTGAGGCCCTGTGTGGTCAGCATTATGGTAGGAATTGGGTGTGCGGTACTGGGAAGAAGAAAAAAAAAAAAAACCACGGACCTTGCCCCCACGGAGCTTACAAGAGCAAGAGAGAGAAACATGAGTCAAGCCACACACAAATTTAAACCTCCCAAATCTTCTAGGTGCCGTAAAGGGGTGCACCCCTTTAGATCATGGTGCAAAAGGCGCAGAACTAAAAGAAAAATCATCTAGAGGAAAAAAAAAACAATTCTAATCATCAATCGTGTTAAAAGAGTTTGTTGAGAAGACGACCTTTGTGGATGTTATCTCTCCCCCGCACTCACTGCTCTTTTCATTCATGGCCTGTGCTAGTTGAGGTCCTCTGGGAAGCAGGTGGCAAGATGGCATGAGGTGTGCATGAGACTTGGGGAATGTGCCTGCAGAAGGTGGAGGGCAGGGAGCCCAGGAAGTCAGCAGCAGCCTTCGGACTGTGGAGCCAGGCTGATGCTTGTAAAAGAGAGAAAAGGACAGGAGTAGGCAGGAAGCATCTCAGCTTGCAGCAAAGAGATCTCTTCTTAGGCCAGATTTGTTGCATGTGAGCCTTCACAGTGGGGGGCAGAGGGGTCCCAGGAGACACCTGGAAGGTTCTCTGGGTTCCACATGTGCACTCCTTGTCCTCACTGTACAAAAGTGGCTCTGCTCCTCCTGCTGGTGAGGGCAACTCCTTTTTTTTCACCAGCTAGTGCCTGAATATAGCAGGCCAATGTGCCCTGGGATTGACCACAGTTCGTAGCACAGTGGGACCTTACTGTGTCCCCTGGTGAGGGTTGCCTCCTTTGGGACCATGACTTCCAGTGCTGCAGAATCCAGAAACGGATGGGAAGTGGTAAGTAGAACCACTCCCTCTTACACTCATTGGTTCCCAAAAATGGTCCCAAAGCCTTTGGGGAAATGCATCCTGAAAGATGGTACTCCATCCTTTCATTGCTGGCACGTCATGTGTGCATTGGTTGTCCTAGTCCTTTGTGAGGCTGGCTACTTCTAGAAGCACAGTGTGTGAGATACAATCAATGGTTTCACGGTCAGGGACCCACTCTCCCACCTTTAACTGGGAAGTGAGTCACCTGATTGGATGCTGTTGTGTGGGATTCTGTGCCTATGGATCAGACTTTGTTTGTTTGTTTTTTAAGATTTTATTTATTTATTCATGAGAGACACAGAGAGATAGAGGCAGAGACACAGGTAGAAGGAGAAGCAGGCTCCATGCAGGGAGCCCGACGTGGGACTCGATCCCAGGGCTCCAGGATCACACCCTGGGCTGAAGGCAGATGCTCAACTGCTGAGCCACCCAGGCATCCCAAGAATGGCCAATTCTTACCTGGAATAGGTATCTGTCACTATGAGCTACCTAGCACAGGGGATGGGAGTAATGAGAGACCGGGTAGTGGGAAGTAAGGAGAACTGTAAAGAATATGGGAACAGGGATCCCTGGGTGGCGCAGCGGTTTGGCGCCTGCCTTTGGCCCAGGGCGCGATCCTGGAGACCCAGGATTGAATCCTACATCGGGCTCCCGGTGCATGGAGCCTGCTTCTCCCTCTGCCTGTGTCTCTGCCTCTCTCTCTCTCTCTCTCTCTCTCTCTCTCTGTGACTATCATAAATAAATAAAAATTAAAAAAAAAATAATATGGGAACAGGGGCACCTGGCTGGCTTAGTTGATAGAGCATGCAAGCAAGTCTTGATCTCAGAGTGGTGAGTTTGAGCCCCACATTGGGCATAGAGATCACTTTAAAAGAGAGAGAGAGAGAGAGAGAGAGAGAGAGAGAGAGAATATGGGAATAGCAGATAAAGGGCAGCCTCCTGAGCTGAGATGGCAATTAATAATTACGTTCCCCAAGGCCCAAGCGGTGCATTTCCGGGCTGCCACGTGCCTATATCCCACGACTGTAAGACAGTTACCGTTGGCCCCTTTTATTTCCAGTGCTACCCCAAGGCTTGGCTCAAAGAAGGGTCACCCTGTGGGCTAACTGTGGAACACCAGCCTACCTGGACACTGCCTTCTTGGGAAGCCGAGACCTGGCTGCAGAGTTTCCACTTGGGCTTTAGTTTCTCTCCTCCATCTCTTCCGCACTCCTCGCTTGCACGGGCTTCACTTTAACGAGAAGAAAGAAAAAAGTCATGTAAATGAAACCTTACAGCCTGCAGCCCACCCATCGACCCCTGAGACGTGCAGAGCGTGACGCTCCTCGAGGAGTTCACAGCTGCCTTCCCAGCTTCATGTGGATATTTCATCAAAGGCTAAAAGCGACGTCACCTTGACAATCGTTAAATCTTGAAGGTCCTAGAAGACCCTGCCTCCAGCCTCCAGCACATGGAAATTCCTTGGAAACCTACGTTATCTCCCCCGCCACTCCCTCCACAGGCCTCAAATGTCTAAGAGCCACCTCTCAGGCTGCCAGGTGCAGCTCTTCTGCCCAAGGCTCCTGCCCTGAGTTACTATAAAATCACCTTTTTGCACCAAGAAGCTCTCACGAGTTGTTTCTTGGCCATTCACTATTGAGCCCAGACTTCAAGTCACAACCTCTTCACTGAAGTGGCTGCCAGTTGAAATCTGCTCAACTCGTGGGAAGATTTGAAACCATATTCCAGAAACGTGTATTAGATCGTGATACTAGGGAGCATCTGGTTCTTTTTTTTTTTTTTTTAAGATTTTATTTATTTATTCATGAGAGACACAGAGAGAGAGGCAGAGACACAGGCAGAGGGAGAAGCAGGCTCCATGCAGGGAGCCCGATGTGGGACTCGATCCCGGGTCTCCAGGGTCAGGCCCTGGGCCCACGGCGGCGCTCAAACCGCTGAGCCACCGGGGTTGCCCCATGGCTCTTGTTTTATGACAGCTGTCCAAAGGGATATTTAAATCTCCGGTTATCCGGTTATCCAAAGGGACGTGCTCAAGCTTGTGGACAATGCGATTTATGATTTGCCTGGTCCCCAGCGCCCCCTGTTGGCTAGTGTCCGCATCCACGCAGCTGTGTCCGGGCCCGCTTTCACAGCATTTCCAGGGGCACGTCCTGCCCTAGTGGGAGTCGGATGGTGAGGACCCACAAGGCCTAGGCCGGCAGCATCCACGCTGCATTCCCGGGGGCTCCTTGCTCGGCTCATCGAGCCAGGCCCTCCTCCCTGTTTCCATGTGCAGCCTCCAAACTTGCTCCCCTAGGGCCTGTCAGTTCCCTAAAAGGAAACTTCTTGAAAACCTCTCCTGGGGACGCCTGGGTGGCTCAGCGTTTGAGCATCTGTCTTCAGCTCAGGGCGTGATCCTGGGGTCCTGGGAGTCCCACATCAGGCTCCCTGCACGGAGCCTGCTACTCCCTCTGCCTGTGTCTCTGCCTCTCTCTCTGTGTCTCTCATGAATAAATGAATAAAACCTTTAAAAAAAGAAAGAAAACCTCCCTGATTGAGGCCACTTTGCTGAGGTCATGAACAACCTGTGTGCTCACTGCACTCTTACATCCTATCTGTCTGCTTCCTTTGCCCTTTCCCGTCTGTTCCAGCAGAGCCCTCGGTGGACTCTCTGCTTCCAGGAGTTATGGCTTTTAGAGTCGGCTGGAGTCCAACCCCCTGGTTTCAAACCCCAGCTTCGACCACTTACTCTTGTCACAGCTTTGAGACAACTGAGACATTTGGATATTGATTGGGCATTAGTAGATAATTATTAAATAATTACTTGTCATTAGATGTGATAATAGCAGGGCGGTTACTTTTTTTTTTTTTTTAATGTCCTTCCCTATTAGGGAAGAAATTATAGTAGGGATTT